GAAAATATTTAAGAATGTATTTTAATTTTTCTTGCAATTAATAATAAAAATGTTTCTTATAAAAGAAACAAAGAGATCCCATCTTACTCCTGTCAGAATGGCTAAAATAAAAAACACTGAGGACAATTTATACTGGAGAGGATATGGAGAAAGGGTAACACTCCTCCACTGCTGGTGGGAGTGCCAACTTGTACACCCACTTTGGAAATCAGTATGGAGATTCCTCAGGAAAATGGGAATCAATCTACCATAAGACCCAGCAATTCCACTCTTAGGCATATATCCAAAAGATACAAATTCATACAACAAGGACATCTGTTCCACTATGTTCATAACAGCATTGTTTGCAATAGCCAGAACCTGGAAGCAACCTAGATACCCTTCAGCTGAAGAGTGGATAGAGAAAATGTAGTACATTTACACAATGGAGTATTACTGAGCGGAAAAAAATATTGGAATCTTGAAATTTCTCAGGCAAATGGATGGCACTAGAAGAAACCATCCTGAGTGAGGTAACCCAGTCACAAAAAGACAAACATGGTATGTGTAGACATGGATCAGGATAATTCTAGTCTGCAATGCTACTGACAGAGAGTCTGGGAAACAGGAAAGAACCTAAGAGAGTTATGCATGGTACCCCCAAGAAGAGAAATGAGGACCTTCATCCAGTGACTGATGGAAGCAGAGGCAAACCCACGATTAAACACTGAACTGAACCCATGGAACCCAGTGAGAGAGAGAGGAGCGATGAGAAAATTGGCAAAGAATGGGCTGGCAAAACCAGAAGACACAGCTGATATGAATAAGGGGGGAGCTCTTGGATCCCAGACCGACAGCTGGGAGGCCAGCATGGGACTGATCCAGATCCCCTGAGTGTGAGAGTCAGTGAAGAGACCTGGACAACCTATGGGCCCTGGGCAGTAGATCAGTGTTTATCCCTGGCATCAAAAGGACTTCGTGTGTCCATAACACAAAGAGGGATGATCTATCAGCCTGGACTCTTAGGGGAGTGCCTGGACCCTACCCTGTGCGAAATGACAGACTAACCCTATGTGAAAGGAAGTGGGGATAGGGTGGAAGGTTGGGGGGGGCAGTGGGGGTGGTGCGGGAGGGGAAGAGGGAGAGGGAACTGGGATTGACATGTGAAGCAAGCTATTTAAAAATTAAAGTAATTGCCGGGCGGTGGTGGCACATGCCTTTAATCCCAGCACTCGGGAGGCAGAGGCAGGCGGATCTCTGTGAGTTCAAGGCCGGGCTGGACCGACAGCCTCCAAAACAATACAGAGAAACCCTGTCTTGTAACAAAACCAAAAAAATAATAATAATAATAAAATAAAATAAATAAATAAAAATTAAAGTAATAAAAAAAGTTCAGGGCCAAAAAAAGAAACAAAAGGAAAAGTAATTTACACTGATAAATCATAATTTTTCTTCTATCAAGTCATTTTATCTATTTTCTTAGTAGTTTTCTTTCTACGAGAAACATGGCCTCAGTATCACTACAGAATTTAGAACCAATTTAATCTGAGTACCTACAACTGTATTAATCCAGGACAGATGATGGGAACTCACCTCTCCCTTGGGCACTGGGCAGATGGTAAACACTGATAAACACTGTTAAAATCACTGTCGCTACCAGTGTTAAAAATAAGTCCACTAAGTTCTTCTTGTAAGCCTTGCATCAGATGTCCATTATCAGCGGATATGATGGAGGCATGGAGCAGTCTAAACTCCATCATTTGCAGCTGTTGTGCTCCTTTTTGCTGCCCTGACCTCCCTGAGCAACAGAACCATTTGGCCTTCCCTTCTGCCACTGACAGTACCAACTGTTGAACTAATTCTCAGATGGTTCAAGATAACTACATGACAACCACACATCTTTTCTCTGGTCCTGAAGACACTGGCGGTGTGGTCAATTTTCTATCAGACTTTACGTTTTCGCATAGATGACCCTTGAACCACCTAAGTTAGCAGAGGAAGACTTAAGTCATTGACCTATCAGAGAGGGACTAGTATGACCAATGTTAAAAGACAAGGCTACAAGTTGTTCAAAAGTTAAGCATCAATGGCTGTGTTTGGTCCAAATGCTATATAAGCTTGCTTCTTAAGCTCACTTACTAAATTGGCTGGGATACAACTCTCTGACACTCATGCCCTGATGTTACATCACATCAAGGATTTCTTTGAGTAGTCTTCTGTCTACTCTCAGTAGTGAAGGTTGAGCTGGGAGCATGGAGATAGAAACAACAGAGGCCAAAGAGCAATGGTGATGGGCATGAGGCACAGAGGGAGCCAAGCAGTCCAGGTAGCAGTTGAGTTGTGAAGAGAGGAAAATGGACATTTGCTCTGACCGCTGGGGAAGTACTTTTTTTTCTGTGATGAAAGATTATATATTTTTTTAATTTTTTTAATTTAAGTTAGAAACAAGCTTGCTTCACATGTCAATCCCAGATTCGTCCCCCTACCCTCCTCCCCTGTCCTCTCCACCAGGCCCTCCAGTCCCATGTCCATTCTCCACTCCAATCCCCAAGGAGGGTGAGGCCCTCCATGGTGGATCTCCAGTGTCTGTCATTTCATCCAGTACAGGGCCTAGGCCCTCATGGCAGAAAGATGAAAGATAGACAGGAGACATGGAGGAGTATTGCAGAGGGAAGTGGGAGAGAGAAGGAGAAACTAAAGAAGGATAGAATACTACAAGGACACAGAGAAGAGAAACTCAAGACTGGCCCCAGTACTGAGAACCACTGAAGCTATTTGCTTCTGCTCCTGTCTGCTGCCACCTGCCTATGGCCGCCACTTGTAACTATCAACTATAGACACAACAAAATTTATCAAGGACCTGGTAATTGAAGAGCTTCCTGACTGGCCAAAGTTTTTATCCCACAACAGCAATATAACCCGTAGCCTAACGATAGGTGACAATACATTCTATAAGGTCCTCCCTTGCTACTGTTTCTTCACGAAGAAATAATGGAAGAATCAGAAAATGTCATCCACTGGCGTGTAGTACCATACTGCTAAATGCAAGCTACAGGGTCTAGATATGGTTTTCCTGCCAAGAGCTACTCATTTGGTCATCTGTCTTGTTTCTATATTGTGGCATAAATTCTGTGAAAGTGAAGCTCAGTTTTAATTTTGAGCTATTAAGAGTTGGCCAACAGGAAAACAAATGGCACCATTACAAGATAATTTTTAGGAATTTCAATGACATCGTCTTGACCTTTCATTTCAATGAACCAGAAAGCTAAATATATTCTTAAAGGTCTACCTCATCTGAAAAGAAGTGAAGGAAAATTTCATCATTATCACTTAAGAATGTATTAAATCACATGTTAAAAATTAAGTTATAGTTATAGATTGAGGGGTCAGTTTTGAGAATCAGACTGTGTGGCTGAATCTTGGTTCCTCAATTAATTACCATCATGACCTTGGGAAGTCACTTAACTTTGTGAAGTATTGGTTTACTCATCAGTAAAATGGAAATGAAAATATCATCCTCACGGAGCTATTAAGCAGAGTAAATTAGATAATGTATTTAAAGTACCCTGTTCAGCATGCAGCATATGTTTATGGGTCCAATAAATGTCAGCTTCCCCTTGTCCGCTGAAGTAATGAAAACACGGAATGGCTACAGAGAGCTCATCTTTTTTACTAACTTATTTTGTCAGTATCTTTCAGAATCTCAACTCTTTAGTAAATTCCCATGATTCCCAGTTTCAGTAGGAACAGTGTGAGGAGAAAATAATTTCATGGCAATAAACACCTTACAAAAAAATTTTATACCAACAAAATGTTAACACATCAGAATGAGTTATAACTTTTGATATCCCATTGACTTATATAATTATTCTAACTAACTGATCGTGTACCTTGCCATATTTTTTGAAAGCATTTCCCAAAGTTTAACCAACAAATTGGAATCAGGAATAATCAGCAGTACCACAAAGTAGGTTTTTTTTTAATCTGTGCTGTTCAAAGCATGGACACATCTGTATGCATCTAATGTCAATGCATTGATGGCGTTACTTAACAGGGTATAATGTGTTGGGATGACATCAATAGAATAATCACCTGAAGATACTCAGAAAAATTTCTTTTAATTTCACGTCAAATAAATATTATTACCTAGTTTGGTGGCACTTATTATAAAATATGCTTATACCATTGTTTAGTTATTTAGTTATCCAACGTTAGTCAACTACCAACTCTCCTTCAAAGCAAATTGAAAGTTATAAAATTTTAACTTTTAATTATAGTTTTAGTTATATACAATTTATATGTAATTATATACACCTTTTACTTATATATTTTTATAATTTATAATTATATATAATTTTATAAGTATAATTTTTATAATTATATTCAAATTAGAAATCAAATCTTCCAGTCCAGAAAATTTATGTAGCCAATGGGGAGATTAAAAATAAAATGACTTCTCACTGCTCTCCCATCTTCCAGAGAAGTTCTTGAGAACAGAAATGCACCCCTGTCCTGAGCATTGTGCTGATCATGAGATTCTGAATTGCCTCTCCATTATCCAATGCAGTGATTTCAAACCTTGGCCCTTAGAAGACTGGTTAATGGTCCAAAACTTAGGAAGATCAGGACCATCGCTTTCACAACACAGACAGAACTTCAGTTGTAAATACATATGGAGCCATGTGTAAACTAATCAGTCTTTTCCAGAATGCACCCCCATAACTATTCAGCTAAAGAAGAGGGATTGTGGCCAGTTGCCTACCATTTAGAATGCATTGTGGTGTGGGGGTAGGGAACCTTCATGAAGAAACTGTGTTCATTAATCAGAAAACATGGAGGTGGATGGTGTTTGGTAGAAGATGGTATTCTGAAATAAAAATGAGCTATGAATAAATGAATTAATGGAAAAAATCACATTATAGAAAACAACACTCTCATTCTACAAGCTCCCTTATGATACTGCAGTACATGTCCTACGCTCCACTAACTCAGAGATTTTTCCAGGCTGGCTGTCCACTTACCCGAGTTGTTTTCACTTTATTTCCAGAGGAGCAGCTCCATCCTTTCCGATCTGGAAGGACCTTACATTCCTCTCCCTCCAGACATGGCTGCATGTGACACCACCATTTTTGTTCCACTATGGATGCTATGAGGAGAAAGAAAAATTAGCTCAATATTTCTATTTGGGACTCCCATGGGACAAAAACTCACTGATCTAACTAATAAATTTTGCATCTTCAGGAATTTTTTCTTATATATAAAATTTTATTTTATCACAATAAGGACAACTAACATGGGATATATAATATTAAAAAAATTCTAATTGTTCAACAGGAAGTAATAACTTTACTATGTTGAAGGATGTTTCACGTGAAAACACAGACTTCATGAGACTAATATACTGAAAAGCCCTGTACCTGTTTATATAAATACATAATAAACTATACCCATGCCCAGATGAATCAATATTTGAAAGTCAATGAAATTCTCCCTATGAGCAAGCTGGAAATTGGGAGAGTGTCTGTAGACTTAATATGTTTTTCTCTTTTTCTTTATTACAAACAGTAATTTCTTCACAAGGAATAGGTCACATAAAAATTACTGTTTATGATGCAACCATTACTAGCCTCTCACAAAGATTTGTAATCTACAATGATAATGTGAACTATCAAACAAAGAAACTAATATTTGTATCCATCTCCATTAAAGTCATTTTATGTGAATTTTATCTGCAGCCATTCATTCATGTACACAGTATTGACTTCTTTCTTCTCTTATTCTTAAAGTCTGTCCAGGTTTTCTTGAACATATGTTAATCACTCAACCCTCTATAGCCATATTACATTTCTCAAATAATTTATGAATATACCATCTACCTGGAAATCTATATTTCATGGCAACAATATCACATTGACTGACTGGAACCTCGTTATAATGCTTTTGTGACAGAACTTTGTGAGATATAATTAACTCTAGCTAGAGGTATTTACGTCACAAAAAAGACTCCGAATAACTTCTCTCTGCTGTGTGATTTACAGTGTGGGCCCCTGGGAGTGACTCCAGAAGATAGCATTATAGCGGGGTTCCAATTCTGACTATGTTGTTACAATGAGCAATGGAAGAAGTCGCACCATCCACACAAGATGGAGCAGCTCTCGTGGTGCCTGCCACCTGCCCAGGGAAGCAGGAGCACTTGACCGTTTGGGACCGTTCTTCTATCTTGTTCTTATTACAGCATCTGTGTAGGGCCACCACCTCACAAGTTCCCGTTTTAACATGGTGAGCTGTGCAAACAGAAACAGAAGATAAAAACAGCTTTGAGAAAGTTTTGGACACTTCTTTTCCTGTTTTCAATTAGAAATATATCAAATACAGCTCTATAATGGATCTGCACACGTGGAACCAGAAACACAATGATGTTGAGTCTGTAATGCAGATTTGATTATTTCTCCTTTAAATGTGCTGAGACCAGTTCTGTCAGAAAATGCTTGGTGAAGCAGGAGCAATTAGTGACTGGATTAGAATGAGCCGTTAAAGGAATCTGAAATATAGAAGCAATCTCTGGTGCTGTAAAAACATACCTATTTGTACATTTCATTCCTTTCTGTTCAATGTGTTAATCACTGGAACGTAAACTCCTGGAAGCAGTGCCCTGCAGTGGGCTTGTTGAGGCCACTCATACAATCACAGTAGTGAGATGGAACAATTGTGATTATAAGTGGTGAGGATTCGGTAAAGAACACCCTCTCAGGAAGCAGTGATATTGTGTGAACACTGCATCCTCAGAAATCCCTGCCCAGTGCACCCTGGAAATAAACTAATTGGAAGAGTCTAGAAGTCGTTTTCCCGCGTGTTCCAGCCAGTGTCAGGACCCACAATTTTCCTCTTTCCATTTTGCCTGGGGAAACAACTGCCACCAAATGGCAACAACTGCAGACAGAATATGGATGGATTACATCTGGAAGGCAGCCACTTGGAAAGCAAGTCTCATAAGCTGCCAGGCACACACAACCATTGTTCCAACCTCAAAGTAAGGCAACCGACAGGGCTCTGGGGATGATTGGAAATTCTGAATATTGTGACATGCTTGGAAAGGACTCTGGTTTGTCTATGTCAGTATCGCTTTCTCCCCACATTTCTTCCTCGACCTATTGTCCTTCCTGTGGAATGACAGATCACAACTTCCTGTGGAATGACAGATCACAACGTTCCATCTCCTCAGATTAAGAGCTGCTTTAAAAATAAAGTTAAGCATCTACTAAAAGCATATGCTTTCAGAAAAAATACTTAATGTAACATTAAAATAGAAATTTAAATAGGTAGGAAATCTAGTAGTTTACCTCTCCCTATAAATATAATGAGTGCGTCATGCCTTTACATCAACCTGCCTGTTAGATGAGCAGTGGAGTGGCAATAACTCAGGTTTGGTAGCTTGCTTAAGCTTTTCTCGGGTGAAAAATCTGATACACCATAATCCTCATCCCTCCATGTGAGATCAAGAAACTGAAGTGTGACATACAATTTTGACAGGTACTTCTGAGAACAGTCAAGAAAAAGGTGCGACCTCCAAAACCACAGACATTTGTGTCACTGTAGATGCCAATGGGAAAAGTTCTCTATGTTTGATTCTACTGCATGTATTTAAAGAGAAGCTCAAATATCTAAGACCCACACTTCTGACCCATTCCTCTTATGCTCTGTAGTATTCTCTTGGTTGAGCATGAGTCACTCTGTCTCAACTTCCCAAAGGCACCATGTTTTGTGTTATAATATACAATTTACATTGCCTGCTATACTGTACTTGGTGACAGTTAAGCTGAGTGAGTATCACACATCACAAACTTCTCTTAGTACTGGGGTCATAATGAATTAAAATGACAAAAGTCCTTTTCTTGTCCTTGGAGAGCTTATATTGCTGGCGAGAAAAAATAATAAATACCCAAGTAAATTATGAAGTAAGTAAATATTAGCAGGAAATCCAGTGTGCTAAGACATGGTCGAGAGTAACTCACATATACATCTGAGGTTTTCAGGCATTCTCTAGCATGGATGCAGTTTGAATGGCAGGCTGAATTATCAGGAAGCAGCACCCTTATGAAGATATGGGGAAGGAAAGTAAACAAAAGAAAGCAAGGCAGTGGCCTGGTTCTGAAACTGGAGGATGTCCTCCTGCGTGGTACCATGGTCAGGGTGGCTGGGAGTGAATGAACAAGGCAGGGGTTGAGGGAAATTCATCAGAAATGTGAGGCTCGTGTGATATCTAATAAATTAGCTGTTTCCTTTGTTTTTTAGAAGGTAAAGTCTTGGGACAGGATAGGCATCCTCTTGATCAGACAGCCCAATGGTGACTACGGTGAAGAAGGGGAGAGTGAGTGATTGCAGGGGTCTAAGTGCTAAGAGGTTACTGGACGATGATGACGACGGGCTATAGCAGATATGGGAGAGGTCAGCAGGGGAAGGATGCTTCTGTGGAGACTTTAACCATGAACTGAACAATGAGAAGCTGATGATCTGCTGGGCAGTGGTGGCTCTTACCTTTAATTCCAGGACTTAGGAGGCAGAGGCAGGCATATTTCCAGGTTCAAAGTCAGTTAAAAGTCTCTTTGCAAAGAAGAGTTCCGGGGCTACACAGAGAAACCCTGTCTTGAAAACCCAAAATTCAAAAATCAAAAACCAAAGCCAAAACAAACAAACAAATAGTAAAGGTTAAAAATGAAGTTAAAAAAAGTTTGATGGTCTCATAGAGAAGGCCTGATAAGGAGGGACAGTTGGCAGGAGAGGCAGGTGGAGGCGGAGGGGCATTAAGTTAGCTTGGAACCTGATGAGTGCAAGGTTAATACAGCCATCGTGTTGTATATAAAGGAGGGACCTCTTTATGAAGTGGAGCTGAGAAACAGACATAGCCCTCAAAGCGCCGAGTCTATAGGCCGTGTGGAGAACTAGAAGCTGAACAAGACCATTGCAGGGATGTGACCCACACAGAGGAGAAAACGGAAATGAGCACTAACTGTGGATACAGAATGTGGAAGGCAGCAGGACTCAGGGCGGCTGAGGAAGAAAAGGTAAAGCACAGAGAAGAAGAGCGCTAAAGAGCAAGGAATAAAATGTATCCGAAGGCAGGGATTGATCAGTCCTGCCAAGCCTGCTGAAGATCCAATTAAATGAAGAGAAGTAATTGTCCATTTACAAAGTAATATACCCAGGATCACTAAGGCAATCCCGAACAAAGAGAATAAATCTCTGACAATGACACTGAGAGCCCGTGAAGGGAAAAGGTGGTACTCTCAATAAATGGTATTGAACACCCAGAAGAATAAAATTAGACCCTTGCCTTACACTGCACAGGAAAAGCAACACAAAATGGACCCATGACTTAAATAAAAGACCTTGACGTGCAAAAGTATTTGAGCAAAACACACACAGGAAATGTCTATGACATTAGTCTGAGCAGTATTTGTCTTTTAGATATAGCTTCAAAAGCACAGGCCACAAAACAAAGACTGAGACTATAGCAAACTCAAAGAACTGTGAGGCAAAAGAAAAAGCCTATGGAATAGGCTAATATTACATAAAAGGTGACAATAGTAAGCAAAAGAGTTGACAACGATAAATTTGGCTGATATCTAAAATAAGCAAGAAAACAATTAGCCAGAGAGACAACTTGTGAGAATGGAGATTTATCAAGAGCAGATGTAGACATGGCTAGGAAGGATAGGAAAAATGCTCAGTACCTTCAATTACTAGTGTGGTATAAGTCAAAACAGCTTGTGGTATAGTTCACGTAGAACAGTTGCTATCAAAAGCAAGTGCTAAAAGGTGCTGGTTTGTGGGGGAAAGGGAATGCTTTTTTAATGTCACTGGGGATGTAAATGGTTCCAGCCATATGGAAAGAATATGCAGGAACCTCAGACACAAAAATTGAACTTCTGTATGATCTAACAATCCCAATGTAAGTATACATTCAAAGAGAATGAGGTTCATATGTTGAAGAAGACTCTGCGCTCTTGTGGTCACTATATCCTTATTCACACTAGTCAGGAAATGGAATCAACCTAAGTGTTCATCAATGTGTGAGCAGATAAAGAAAATATAGAGCACAACATTTGTTTAAAACCACAGTCCAAAAATAATATTATCCTGCGATTTTTTACAACATAGATGGACCTCCAGAATACTTTACCTTTAAGGGAGCAAGCCAGGCACAAAGAAGATGGGTACTATATGATCTCACCAATATGCATGACATGAAAAAGGTTAACTCAGGAGCGGATAATGCTAGTTACATGGTACTAAAGTAGAGAAGCAAATGATGTTTGTCAGGGGAGACAAAATTTAAGTTAGAAGAACAATTCAAGAGATCTGTTATACAACATGGTGACTGCAGCTAATGATGTATTACAGTCTTTAGAATGTCTATGAGACTAAATTTTAAGTTTTATTTCACAAAAAGTACATGAGGACATTCACATACTGATTCAAGACAGCCATTATAGTAATATTATTATTTTAAAATATCAGGATTTACAAGATGAATGCTGTTGCCAATTAAAATTAAAAGAATGTGTGTAGTAGATAAAGCATAAATTGAAATCATAGCAGCTAGATTCATATCTAAGCTCCTTTCTGTAGCTGTTTTGTCTGAAGCAAAAGTATCCACCATCTCCAGATGGTAGCTTTCTTCATCTACATTAGGAATACTATCTACAACAGGATGAAATGATGTAATATGTAGAACATGTTTAGAACATTGTTAGTCTAGTAGTAGACTTTTCTATAAGTTATCTATTTTCATTTTGACAATGAAAATAGTTGAGTACTGCCTATTGGCACAGGCACAAATTTAATGGTAGGAGAAAAATCAAATAATACTTGAAGTAAGTACAGTAGACAATAGGCATGAAGAAAACACAAGTATACTGGAAGTAAATATAGTAGAGAATAGGAGGTAAGATTATAGAGAGAATAAAAACAAAAATTCCATTCAAACTCGTTTCCTCTGAAGGGAGAAGAAAATAGAGCAATAGCTGGAAAGACTGTGAAACCAACAGAATTTTGTAAATGGATGCTAAAACCAGGCACTCTTATTTTCTTACCTGTCTATTAGGGAAAGACAAAATGGCATTATAGGAGGGAAATGGACAACTGAAGAATAATCTTCTCAAGGAAGTGAGATACAGAGCACCCAGGGGGAAGCCACAGTTGGAGACACAATCCACATTAGCAAGACTAAAGACAAGAGAAGTGGGTCTGGAGAGGGGCAGGGGTGAGCAGACTGAATAAGGTG